ATCAGTAAAATGGGTTCAGTAACTCTCTACCTAACTGCAGTTCTTGTAAGGAAAGAAATTTGTGACTTTCAAGAGGCTCACGTGACGCAATCATTTATTTGATGGGTGAGAGACGCCTGCCTCATCCCCTCTGTTTCGGCCTCCCACTATTTCCTTCTCCCTGCCCCATCTTGTCTTCCCTCCAGAAGGAACCCAGTGAGGCACCAACTCCCAAGAGACCTCGAGGCAGACCGAAGGGGAGTAAGAACAAGGGGGCTGCCAAAGGCCGGGTGAGTTCCTGGGGGTGTGGAGGAGAAAAGGTTTCCTCCATTCAGGCAGCCATTTTGGTCTCAGGGGGCAGAGATTAGGAGAAAGTTGAGGGGTTTTCCTCAGCAGAATTTGGAAAACATATTAAGACCCAGTGATGACTTATTGGAGGTAGGAGGAGAGCTGCTGGAGGCAAAGTGTGTGTATGTGTATACATAGACAGGCAAGGTTTATGCAGATGTATAGATGTATGTATATATAGGCAGCGCTCTGTGTATGAAAAGATCTGTGGAAAGGATGGCTCTTGGATGTGTCTTCATATGACTGATCCTTCCCATAGATGTCTGGTGGGCTTGGGAGATTGGGGGTGTGTTGTGTCCTCAGCATCAACCAAGCATAGCAACCTGTTTTGGGGGTGAGGATACAGTGGCAGGTTTGGGAGTGGCTCAGAGAATAGAGCTGGGGGCCGTGAGTCAAGAAGACTTGAGTTCAAGCGTGACCCAGAGCAGGTCACTTATTCTCTGACCTCAGTTTCCTTTTTTGTAAAATGGTGATAACTAATACCACCTCCCTCTCTCCTAAGGTGGTTGTAGGATCAAATGACGATAATTGTAAAGAGCCTAGCGCTGTGTCTGGCTGCACAGTGAGAGCTATATAAACATACGCTATTAGTAGTGAGAAAGGACACTGAATTTCCAGCCAGAAGACTTGAGGCTCCCAGCTCTGTTACTTGCTGTGTGACTTTGTTGCACGTGTGCCTTGGTTTCCTCGTTTGCAAAATGAGAAATCAAAGAATACTTGTGTTTTTATCTCACAGGGGTATTTGTGGTCTAAAGAATGAAAAACATTTTAAAGAGGATCTGCTATAGCCTAGTGCTTTATAAAATCTTTTATAAAAGTTTTAAAAAGCAAAAATGATTTATTGCTTAGGGTTGGAGAGGAAAGAAATTGGTGTTGGCCAGAGGGGCTTTGGTCCCCTTCTGATTCTCCTGGCCTTGGGGAGAATGGGAAATGATTCATCTGGGGTATAGGGGGGAAGGGGAGGAGGTGTGTTCCATTCATCCCCCAGGAAATTCTGTTATTGAGGGGGTGGTGAAGGAAGAGGAGGGACAGCTAGAGAAAGGGCCAACATATGATGGCTTCTTTGAGAAGCTGTTTTTGCCTTAGTTATTTATTTATTTATTTATTTTGAGGGCTCGACTCATATCCTCTTGAGTCATGGGTGGAAGAGGCTCAGGTCTCTGGTGGGAGGAAAAAGGAGTGAGGGGGTGTGGATATGTGGTGTAGTAGGGTGTGTGTGTGTGTATAGAAGGTCTAGTGTTGGAGGGTAAATCACACCTAGCCTGGGACAGATGTCAAGAGTTCTGGGTTGTCCTGTAGAGATGGGATCAGTGCACCACACCTGTGGGAGAAAATGAGAGCCTTTGCTTCCTTTTTTAAACCTATTTAATTCCGGGTCTGTTCCCCTCTAGAAAACTACCACTGCACCAGGGAGGAAACCAAGAGGTAGACCCAAAAAGCTGGTAAGTACAAGAGGTGCTCGTGTGAGAGCATGAGAGGGGAGACTGCGCTCTGGGGTAGACTGGGCACTGGCTTCTACTTCTGGGATCTGGCTTGGTCAAGGAAAAAGCCTGGAGGAAGGGAGAAGGATGCTGCTAGAAATCTCAAGTATCAGTGCCCTGAACACAGTGTCTCCTTCCTCCTTCCAGTCTTTCTTTTCTCTTTTTTCCTACTCTTCCTATATTCCTCCCAAGGAAATTTCATCCACTAAAAATCCCAATTCCCCCTCCAAGGACTACCTACTCTAGACCAATAGAATTGGGGAAGCAGTAACAGGGGTACCGTGGTTACTGGTGTCAAAGTTGGGGACCTCTTGGTGAGGAGAAGCTGCCCAGGGTAGGCTCCTGATGAACTGCAAGGTGGTGGTTAGCCTGAAGCCAGGTATTAGTCTCATAAGCAGCGGTGTACGGTAACCGTTTTCCTTCCCCTCCTCCTCCTCTCACTCACCCCCTCTACCCTGTGCTACTACCAGTGGCTTTCTGTCTTCAGCCAAACCAGTCCCCCTCCCCTGGGGTGGGGGGTGGAAGAAGAGAAACAGCATCTGGCAGACCTCCAGGAGTGAGTAACAGGAAGCAACTTGTTTTGGAGTCTCTGCCTGGCATGGGGGCCGCCCTGGGTCCATGCGGTGTCCCCGAATTCCCACCCTGTGAGTGTGCTCCAGAACTCACTTCCCTTTCCTCCACCAAGGTCAGCTCTCGGCCAGCTCCTGCTCTCGAGTACTCTGGGGATCTTGTTTAGACCCTGTGGGGACTTTCTGGGCCGGCCAGGGTCCCCTGGAGAGACCAGGGGCAGGACTCCCGGGGCCCGGAGAGATAGGGAACAAAGGGTAGAGCTGTCCTGGTGGCTCACTCACCTCATCTATTCCTGCTCTGCCACGACTGCCCACCAAGGGCATGGGTTCCCCCTGCCCTCTGTCTCCTTTTGCGCTTGCTTTTCCTAGCATTCTCTCGCCAAGGAGGAGACTTGCTCTGAGCTTAGGCCAGTTACTTCCTTCCCCCCCCCTTTTGAATTCCCCTCCCCCACTGTAGTGGAGAGGAAAGAATGCTTTGGGGGGTGGGGGAAAGACAGCCAGGCTGCTGTGGGAGCCAGCAGGGCTTGGGGAGGGGAGGAAGCAAGTGGAGGGAGCTCTGTTTTCCCTTTAAATTCCTCCTCATTTTATGAATGAAACCGGGCAGCAAGAGTGCTGAGTCACCCACACACTCAGCCCTGAGTCATCCCAACCCTAGAGCACTTGTATGTGGGGGGAGACTGGGCGTGCGTGCGTGTGTGTGTGTGTGTGTTGGGGGGGTGGTAGTCTGGGCCCCCCCTTCCTGATGTGTCCCGCCCTGTGGGTTCTGGGGCTGGGGGTGGGCCCTTCCCGAGGAGGAAGTGGAGACAGGGAGGGGGAGCTAGCTGGTGTATGTGGGTTTCTGTGGGGGCTTGGTCTCCCTCTGCCCTTCCCACACAGACAACCCCCTCTCATCCTTCTACAACTAGTAGCTTCCCTTCTGTGCAGGAGAAAGAAGAGGAAGAAGGGATCTCCCAGGAGTCTTCAGAGGAGGAGCAGTGACCAAGTCTGCTTATATCTCGCTACCTCATTCCCCTTGATGACGATGACAACAGCAGCGGCCCTTTCGTTCTGGGACTAGACAGAAAAATGTTGATCTTTAAGCCCCCATTTTTCTTCCCCCACCTTTCCTTTCCCTCAATCTGTCCTTCCTGGTTTTACTGGTCAGAGAAATGATAGCTCTACCTGGGAAAAATGCCTCCCCATTCACACATTGGACGTATTCACACCGACCCAGGCCACCCCATATGGGATTGTGCTGGGTGGGGTGGAGCAGACAGCAGGTGGTTGAGCCTCCCTCCCCCCATCTCCCACATCCATCCATCCACCCATCCATAGACACACCCATCCTTTCCCAGGATTGGGATTTCTTTTGTATTTCTCCTTTCCCGGACAGAGCTAACCTTTTAACTTGGCTGCCAACACCTGTTTCTTTGTCTCTGCCCCTCTTGGAATGGGACCAGGGTTCTGTTTTCCCATCTCCCCCTTCCCCCACTCCAACTCAAAAGGGTTTGAGAGAGAAGGACAGATGTGTGAATATCTTGATCCTAAGAACTCTGCTTCAGTTGACTTCTGTTTGGGGATATTCTGTACCCCACCACCCCTTCTTTCTACCTTCTACTCAGTCAAGATTGGTCCCAAGGGTGGAGATGGGAGCCGACTTTTCGCTGGTAGTAGAAGGGGGGGTGGTCCAATACCCACCCCTTTCCCCCTCCACACACTGGCATTTCCTGAGTATCAAACTGGAATGGGGCTGGGCTGGAGCCTAGGGTGTCAGGCACTAATTGAGAAGTAGCTAAGGGGAAGGGAGAGGGTCTGATTCATCTGTTTCCTTGCTGCTCAGGAGATCTAGGGAGAAGGGGGGGACTTGACAATCCTATTAAATTCCCCCAATCCTGGGCTAGCCTTCCTTGGCCCTTGATTTTTGCCTTTGGAATGCATGTTTTGCAAGGATTTTTCCTCCCAGCCCCCCCTAATCCCTCCTTTCAGAATGCCATCCCCTTCCCCCTAGGAGCTGGTCACATCTTCCCTCCGGTCACAATCTACCTCTGAACACATTTTGTTGGTTTTCTTTTTTTAAATGGTTTTGTTCTTACATTCTGTGGCTTCCAGACTCAGCCACGCAGTTTTGTTGGTTGTCACGTTCACCTGCCCTCTACTCCTCTTCTATCTCGACCCTGCTCATCCTCCCCAAATCATCACAAAGGAGGGCTTGGGGAGATGGTGGACGCCAGGCCTAGTTTACTAAAAAGTGACATTGTTTGGGGAGGTGGGCCCCAGGGGAGCTGCCGAACCCCACTTCTATCAGTCCCTCCTTTGGTAATCTTCAAGTTGGGAGGGTTAAGGGAAGGAGGCCCAGCCGAAGTGGGAGAAGGGGTGGTCCCAGACTGTTGTGAGGCCCCCCACTCTGGTTTCCTATTTGCAGTTACTTGAATAAAAATTAATTCCTTTTTTTTCTGGACAAACAGTCTCATTAGAGGGGATATACAGACACAGCCATATGTCCCAAGGCTGAATGAAAAATTTGATTTCTGAGGGAAAGGAGAGCAACATCCTTAACTGATAGTGTGTAGGGGCTTAAACAGCATACTTCTATATGTTCTTGGGCCAGTTTTACAGCTGGCTCCAGGTCCCAAAAAGAGGACTGTTTATTTGGGGCTTTCACATCACTAGCAAAGAACACGTCAGGAGGGGAGTAGAAGTGCTCTCTCCTTAGCCAGAGCTATCTTGGTTACACTCCCGTCCACAAAACATTTTATTTACAAAATCTATGTACACTGTATAATATAAACAAAGCCCTCCCTAGGAAACCACAACCCAGCACCTGACAGTAGCAAGGGCAAAGTTGAGCATGCTGGACATCTCGGGAGGGGGAGGAATACAACATAAGTCGGGGTAATTCCTGTCCCCTCCTCTCCACCTTTAGGATTTGCCAAAAGATGCTTGGGGCAAGTACCCAGATGAAAAAAGCAAGACAGATGGGGTTCTAGCCCCTGCCTAGGGTCTAGAAAAGGACAGCTGTCCCAGCCAGCAGGTCAATAAAGAATGATTACTGTGTGTCCTATTTGTGGGGTGAGGGAGGCTCTTCAGTGGGAGATAACAAAAATGAGCAATTCTGGACTCCTGTAACAGGTAAAAAGGTGTCCCTTCCAGTGGGGTCAGGGCTTGGTGGGGGCCTGCTTCCTTAGTTTATGTCTTCACATCCAAAAGGGGCATCCGTTTGTGCTGGTAACTACTGTGCCAGCCATGGACCACCTGTAAGGGGGGAAAAGATAGCCTGAAAAGTCCTCTCCCCACCTTGTACAACCCTGAATCCCAAGTCCTAGCATGGCAAGTGGGTAGGTGTGAACCAACCTCCCCAACCCATCAGGGAAGTATTAACCCTGGTTCCACCTCCTTTCACCAGCCCAGGATATCCAGATGACCAAAATGATCCCTATTCAAAGATGTTCAGAATCCCAACCAAATTGGCCTGGAAGGGTTGAATCACTCACCTTGGGATCCCCCACCTCACATAGCAATTCCTGCTCAGCTTCATGCAACTCTTCTGCTGGGTCATAGCTGTACATGGGCAGTAGATGGTGCCGGAGCCTGTCCACCCTGGGAAGGAAGGGGGTCCCCCAATTTCCCTCTTCCCATTCCTCAGGCCTCAAAACATACTGAAAAGCTGCAATATACTGTCTACTGGCTGGGAAACTAGCAGATGGTAATGGAGCCTGTTCACCCCAGAAAGGAAGGGGGGTCTCCTAATTTCCCTCTTCCCATTCCTCAGACCAAGTGGCTTTATGCACCAAAACAGACATTGAGAACCTATGACGTAAAATATACTTTCACCCCAGGCCAGCAATTTAAGGTTTGCAAAACACTTCATACATCTGATCTTTACAATAACCCTATGAGGTAGGTGTGCTGACAGATGGGGAAACTGAGGCACAGAGCAGCTAAGTGTGGCCTAGTGCCACACCGCCATTAACTGCCTAAGGCATCATCTGAACACCAGTCCTGCTGGCCCCATTTCCAGTATTGTGTCCAGTGCGCCACCTAGCTGCCCAACTGGGGAGGTCCCTAGTCCGAAGTAGAATCACCTCCCCTGCTTCTCTCCCATTCCACTGGAAAGAGCTGCTGCCTTCCCTTCACCTAGACCAGCACTTACCTTTTCTTCTTCTGGATGTACATCATCTGCAATAAAGAAAAAGCACACTGAGTGGGAGTAGAGGGGCACTAGGTAGAAAAAGAATCTCTCCTCTGCCCGCCACCAACTTCCGTCCCCAACCATGAGATCCTTCCACCACCCTATGGAAGAGCCTTTGGGGTAAAGGGAGGTGCAGGGAGGGATAAAGGTAGGGCTTCTCTCCTTACCACAGCCACCACCACCCCCACTAGGGTGATGAGGAAGAAGGGGCCAAGCACATAGCCCACCATGGAGTCACTGGTAGCCCTGGGGGCACTCGGTGCTGTAGTGTTACTCATCACACCAGTAGCCAGGGCAGAGGCAGGAACAGCAGGGAAGAGCCGTCAGCATGGGGCACTTCGGGAGGGACACCTCCACTTGGGTCCCTGGGGTCAGGAGCACAAAAGTTCTCCATTTCACTCAGGGTGGGATTCAAACCTCGAACCCCTCCAGGAGGCTGACCTGGACCTTGCCCTTCCCCTACCTGAGGCCTCAGGACACTGTACAAGAACAATAATAATATTAACTCATTTCTATAGGGCTTTCAGGTTTACAAAGTACATTTCTCACAACAGCACTAAGAGGCAGGAAGGCGGAAAGGTAGGATTTTAAAATAAGGGCAAATAGCAAAATTTCCCTTTTTAAAAAAAGGAAACTGAGGCCCAGAAAGAGGAGTGACTTGCCCGAGGGCCACAAAGCTAGTAAGTGGCAAGACATTCAAACCCAGGTGTCTCTCCTCATTTCAGATACAATTCATATTGTCAGACACCTGTGATCCACCAACGAAAGGTACTACACCTGGGTTCAAATCCCCTCCCTGTGGCCTCAAGCAAGTCATAACCTCCTTTCCTCGGGCCTGTGTTCTTATCTTTTAAATGAAAAAGTTGGACTCATTGATGTCTAAGGTCCTTTCCACTTCTTAAAATATTTCATCTTTGTTTCATCACCCACTTCAGACTCTTAATTCAAGGCAACAGATATTTATTAAGCACCTACTGTGTGGCAGGTTCTATACTAAAGTGCTGGGTTGGAATCAGTCCCAGCAGAGAGAGGGGAAGTCCTAACTCACAAGAGGTGTTGTAACCCACCTGACTATGCACCCTTTCCATTCTCTACCCTCTGGGACCAAGGCCAGACTGGGCTCTAGAGGATATGTGACCACACCCAGAGGCTCCATTTCCAAGAAGTGCACCAATAACTAACTCAGGGCAGACCTAGCGGGCCCCACCCACCCTCCATCCCAAGGAGGGTAGGCAAGATGTGACACACCCTTCATCCCTATCCCCTCACTCTTTAAACATGGTTTCAAAAGATCCCTTCCAGTTTTACAATGCCCTATGCCCATCCCCAGACTCAGGTCTGGGCAAGGCCAGGAAGAGGCTCCATAGCCTCAACCTTTCCAATCCCCAAAATGCACAAGAGCAGGGACTGAAATTTGGGGCGGGCACAGAGCAGAGAAGGGATGATGTCACCATCTGGTGACACCTCCAAGTCCTTCCCATCATCTCCGGAGGGCCAGTAGCACCCTTCGTTTGGCACGAGGTTGGGAGACCTGGGCAGTGAGGGGAGGGACTTGGGGGTGGGCAGCATCAACCTGACCCTGCCCCAAGTTCTGAAGATCCTGAGGATGCCGGGACCAAGTGACATCACACTGGGATGGGGGCAACTCGGACCCAAGCAGTCAGGCTCCCAGGGCCACTCCAAGAAGCAACCCACCCCACCCCAACGAGTCTCCGCTGGTCAAGGTGTCTGGGACTGGCCCCCCATATTTATCAGGCCCAGCCCACACATTCCCGCCTCCCCAGCTCGTGCACACGCCCAGCTTGGTCCTGGGGAACCCCCGGGCATCCTTTGCCCCAGAGCCACTTCCCTCAAAGAGCACCTGCTCAGCTTCCCCCACCTCCCGCAACCCAAGCGCCTCCGGATTCTCCAGGGCCCGGGTAGGAGCAAAACGGGGTGCGGTGTTCCTGGGGAGTTCCTGGGAGGGGCGGGGGGGACAGCTGCCTCTTGCCAGCTAGGCCTCTGCACTCTGGGGCACGGACGCCGTGCCCGCACTCTGCAGCCCCCCGGGCACTGCCAAACGGCCTTACCTCCCGTGGCTGCGGCCCCAGCTTACGCGGCCTCCGCAAGGCTGCAAGCAAGGACCCCCCCGCCCCCCACCCCGGAAGCGGCCAGAGCAGCGAGTGACGCTAGGGGCCCGGGAAAACGGGCGGGGCCCAGGAGCCAGAGAGCAGCCAATCCGGAGGGGAGGTGGTGGGCGGGGCCGGAGAGGTAAAAAGCTCGGTCAGCCCCAAATGGCAGGATGGGCGGAGTCCCCGAGCCGCCAATTACAAAGAAGAGAGGGAGGGGGCGGGACCAATTTGCTCAGGGAGGACGGAAGCGGAGGGCGCGGCCGGGAGCCGTAGGGGCCAGAGCGAGGCGTCAGGGGGCAGCAGAGGGCTGCAGAGCCGGGGAGGGTTAGGGGAGGGTCAAGGAGGGAGGGAGGAAGAAAGGGAAGAGGGAGAAGAGAAACCTATTTTCCCAGCATCCTTTGAGGGTGGCAAAGAAAATGGAGAAGCTACGGCGACCTTCCCCTGCTGTTTCTATGATCCCCCGCATGCACCCCTAGAAATCATAGTGGCTCAGAAGCCCTGGGGAAAGAGAGGGAACCCCACCGAATCATTCCCCACCCCCACCCCTAGTACTTCCTGATGGCTAACCTAAATCCCCCCGGGCTGTAGCAGCTCCCAAGGTCTATTCGTCCCTTAATCTGTCCTTTGGGGATCCAGGAGATCCTAGGATTCCCAAATCCATAGACCAAGCCCTTTGGGATTCGGAGAGACACCCTTACCCATTCCCCATAGGCTTAGGAAGGACTTGGGAGCAGGTCCAGGAAGAGCCGCAGACTAATTAGCTCTTTCCATCTGCTACACCCAGGAAGGAGAGAGGGCAAGGCAAAGAATGAAAATAATAGCTTATATTTATACAAATTCATTTTAAATGTATTTTTTTTATTATATCAAAGCTTTAGAGCTGGAAAAGACCTTTGTCCAGCACTCTCATTTTATGGATGAGGAAACAGACCCACACAGGTGACTTGCTTCAATTCACATATGTAAATGATAAAAAAGACAGGACTTGAACTTAGGTTCTCTGACTCAAGTCCAGCACTCATTCCGCTGCATTAAAGCCGTTATGTCATTTGATGAGCCCTATGACCCAGCAAGGCAAGGGCAATTAACATTATTTTACAGATGAAGAAACTTGGATTCAGAGAATATCTTGCCCATGGTCAAGCTAGTAATGGTAGAGCCTGGACTGGAACCCAGGTCTTTTGACTCCAAATATGCTTACCATCACAACATACCACTGCTACTCTTCACAATAACTCATATTTCAGTACTGCCTTCTTTACAAAAGATGCAGCTCCTGCTTTCAGGGAGTTTCCAGTCAAATAGAACTAATAGAGTAGAAGTCTAAGTAGAGTAGAAGGTGCAAAGGAACTGCTGAAAGGAATGTTGGAGGTACCTATAACTATTATACGTATATTACATACACTATGTATCTAGATACAAACAGGTGTTTGCATACAAGGTGTTCCAAAATCTTAGTGTAGTTTTAAGCTTTAATATCTTAGAACTGAACTAAGACTTTAGGAACACACTATGTAATAGTTATAGAACAGATCACCTAAGCTAGAAGGAACCTTAAAAGCCACATAGTTGAACCTATTCCTTTATTGGAGAGAGTCAGGAGGAGACCTGAGGTCCAGAAAGAAGTGAGTCATGTCCAGAGTGTTACAAGCTCAGAGTCAGTGACAAGACAAAAGTAAAACAATTCCCCAGGGGACTTCTGAAATAGTGTCTTATAGTAAGTGGCATCTGAGATGAGCTTTGAATGCAGCTAGAGAATTGAAGATACACAGAGAATCCGTTCTAGTCACGGAGAACATGGAAAGAAGTATGGAGATGAGAGATGAAATGCGGAGTTCAACATTTGCTCAACTTGTAAGCCAGGACAAAATAATGTAGGAATCCCTCCCAGGTAACACATGAATTTTATTGTTTCCTTTAAAACTCATATGTTTCATTTTGATGTAGTCACTTCCAACAATTTCTTCCATATAGTACCTACTTTTCCACACACAAAAAGTGAAGTAAAATTAATAGCTTGATTGTAACAGGATGTATGTTGCTTTCTGGTTTTTGTCTGCAATTATTGCAATGACACCGGCCGTTGTTTTTGATCTAAAGGTTTTTTAATGTTTTATTGATATATTTTGTTTTAATATCACCTTTTTGCATATCTTTCCATTACCCAGAAAGACATTCTGTATAAGAAAGGTCGAAAAAGAAAACAGGAGAGGGAGGAAAAAAGCAGTTTAGCAAAATGAACCAACACATCAAGCAGGTCTGATGTATTGCATTTTATATACACAATCATTAATTATACAATGAGTAAAGAGTCATATACAAAAGTCCACTTCCATAGTCCACCACTACCTCTGCAAAGAAGAAAAAAGAAATGTGTTCTCTCAGTGGCCCAGTGGATAGCTACGCCTAGAATAAAGAAGACAAGTTCAAGCCTGGCCCCTGACATTTGCTAGCTGTGTGACCCTGGGCAAGTCACTTAGCTTCTGTTTACTTCAGTTTCCTCATCTGTAAATTGGGGATAATAATAGTACTTGCCTCCCAGAATTGTTGTGAGGATCAAATCAGATAATATTTTGTAAATTGCTTACTTAGCATAGTGCCTGGCATATAATAGGAGCTTAATAAAAGTTGTTTACTTCCTTTTTCAGGCTAACCATGTGCAGCAGTGGTGTCAGCCTCAAATAGGAGCTAATCCCTGTGTGCCACATATTGACTTAGAAAACCACAAATTAAAATGTTGTTGTTGTTGTTGTTGAATTATTTCAGACTCTTCATGATCCTGTTTGTGGTTTTTGTTGCAAAGATCCTGGAGTGGTCTGTCATTTTCTTCTCCAGCTCATTTTACAGATGAGGAAATTGAGTCAAACAAGATTAAATGACTTGTCCTTCTTCTTGAAGAGGACCATGACATCAGGAAGGTGATGTCATGACTTGCAAGTGAATTGGATTTAAGTGAGGGAGGCTTGTACAAAGTCACCAGCTCACTCTCTCCTTTGGAGCCATGTGAGTCCATTGGCAAGATATAGATCAGGATGACTGGAGATGGCCCCCTGTCCAGGGTCACACAGCTGGTAAGTGTGTGAGGCTGGATTTGAACTCAGAAAGAGGAGTCTTCCTGATTCCAAGTCCAGTGCTCTATCCACCTAGCTGCCCCAAATTACATTATTTTTGTTGCATTTTTATTTATATTATTAAACACTTCACAATTACACTTTAGTCTGGTTTGGGCCCCACTAGGGAGTTTTACAGGTTAACTGGCCAGAGTTTGACACCTCTGATGTCAAACTCAAGTAGTCAAACCTTCATATCCTCAACCTATATTCACATGGTAGGAATTCAATGTTCTTCACTATCTTAGTTGTCTTCCTCAAGGTGTTCTTTAGCTTATCGACATCAACTCTTGAAATGTGGCATCCAGAGCTGAACGCAATACTTCAGATGTGGTCCAATCAGTACAGAATATATAGTATCTAGGACACCTTTTGGGTCCTGGGTACCTCTTAATGAAGCCTAAGATTGCATTAACTTTCTTGGAAAAACCATGAAACAAATCCAAGTGAGATAGCAACTTTGACCACCAGATTATCATATATGACACTATATTACTCCAGGACCTTTCCACTAGGAGGGAGATGTGCTTTTATCAAATATTCTTTTCTTTTTTTAATTCAATTTTATTTTATTTTCAGTTCTGAATTCTCTCTCTCCTACCTCCCTCTTTCTCTGCCCCATCCATTGAGAAAGCAAGAAAAATAAAAATGTTACAAATATGTATACCCAAACAAAACAAATTCATGCATTAGCCATGTCATAAATATATATACATATATGTGTATTTATATGTATATGTATACATATACTCTTATAACATATATGTGTAGACATGCATATACATGTATGTGTATGTACATCAATCTGCATTCTGAGTCCATCACCTCTTTCTATCTGGAGGTGGATAACATATTTCATCATGAGTTCTAGAGTTACGGTTGGTCATTATTTTATCAAATATTTTCTAGAGCCAAGAGTGTTTGTTACAATCCTTCAGTGTTCCAATTTCTTTTATAGATTGGATTTTTTTTTTTCCATTTACATAGTTGTAGTCATGGTATATCTTGTTCTCTGGGTTCTGCATATTTCACTCTATCACTTCAAACTAGTCTTCCCACTTTTTCTAAATTCTGTCAATCAATAGGTATTATGGTCATTCCTTATGCTAGATACTGGGGATACAAGTATGAAGAATGAAACAATCCATACTTTCAAGGAGCTTACAATCTAACTGCTGGAGAGACAACATATTTAAGTATATACAGTATAAATATAAACAGCATAAATAAAAGTAGTTAAAATACAAGGTAGTTTGGGAGGGAGGGTACTTAGTAATGGCAGCAGGGTGGGGTTGGAGTGTCAGAAAAGCTACATGTTTCTCAAGAGCGTGCATGAGCTGTCTTGAAAGAACAGGGGGATTCTAAGAGGAAGGTGAAGAAGGAGCACATTGCAGCCATGGGAAACCACTGATTCAAAGACATGGAGACAGTTGCAAAGATGTGGGTACAGAATAGAGAAAAGGCAAGTTTGGCTGAATACCAGAGTGGAGTGAGTAAGAGGAATAATGTACAATGAAACTGGAAAGATAGATAGATTGGACCCAGGTTGTACAGGGTTTTCGATGTTAGACAACAATAACAGGGTTTATCTCTGAGAGCCAGATCTGCTACATCTCTTAGCCAGTTGACTCCTCCCTATTTCTCTAGTCTCTTGAGGGGTTTGGGGAAGTATCTGCTTTCCTGCTATCAGTTTAAGCCCCACCCCCCACCAATTGCGTTCCCCCTTTATTTTAGGGGTCAGTGATTAGCACCACAATTTTGTTTAACCATTTAACATCAGATTAGCTTTTAAGAGGAATATTTACTCTAAAAATATAGCAAGACCAAACATACAAACAGGTCCCTCCAATATTTAGGGAATAATCTCCCCTCCCCTGTACCTCAGGGGACAGGAGGAGTTATCCCAGTTCCTACCTAGCACTAGTCCTATCAAGTTCAAGCCCCAAGTCCCAC